TTAAAAAAAATAAACAATTAATTTTCATTAGAATGTCAAACTATAATGCGGCCGTGAGATAAGCAAATCTGTGCAGGGATAAAAATAATATTTTATTTGCTTTACTCCTGGGCTCCCCTACAGGTGGAAAATAAATATGCAGGGACATCTGCAAAATGTTTTTTTTTTTTAAATTGAAAAAGTGCAAAATAGGATAAATAGTTGAGCAGGGGTCTAAACTCTAGACAATGGTACAAAGAGGCTTTCTGTTAAGTGGTCCTAAATTTTATGATGCTTTCTTTGACGTGAACATTGTGAGATCATCTATGTGAGCCAATATTAAGAAGTGTTCTGGCTGGTTCACCTCGAAAGATTGATGATCACTGGTCAAGAACCTGCAGTTTTGAAAACGGGCTTTTTGTTATACTTTTGTGCATTTTTGCATGGATTCATCAGGAAAATCCACAGTGGGGACATATTGGGAATGTGTGCGTTGAGAAAAGGGGAAGGTGGGGTCTGGTGGGGCTGGGGGGGGGTTTGGGGGGGGTTACACCTATGCATGTGTGCTACATAAATCAGCTCTCACCTCCTCCATCACTCCCATTGGGCTTTAGGAGCCCAGCGGGAGAACCCCCGCATGGACTTTGATGGCACCACATATGATTCATCCCTTTTTCTAAAGCCGTTTGTTTTCATTAGTCTTCGACGTCAGCTCGCCGCGACTCTATCTCGCTTTTTTTTTTTTTTTTTTTTTTTTTTGTGCAACGCAAGCACATTGAGGGCCAAACGAGGGGAAAGAATTTGTGAGTGGTTGCGAGGGTTTCTTTGGCACAAGAACAAACGAAGGAGGTCGGTTTGAGAAGAGACCGAAAACTGGCAGGCGGCAATGGGTGTTTTTCTTTTTTCTTTTTTTTTTTCTACTTGTTGATAATAAGCAAAAAAAGGACGTGAAGCCTTTACACTGACGTTTGTTGCATGTCTTTGCCTGTCTGACTGACAGGTGACCAGTCCGGGCTTCAGCCCAAGTCAGCTGGGACCCTGAACAGGGTCAGCTTTAAAAAATAAATAAAGGACGGCCATTTAACCCTTTGCACAAAACATAAGGATGCATACCTACGTGGATGGTGGTGATTGTTGTGGTGCTCAGGATGATGCTGAAGGTAGTAGAATATGGGAGGCAACTTCAATTCGGTGCCCAGGGTTAGTCATGAGGAGACATCATTTCGAGGTTGTCCTTGTTTAAAAAGTGGTCACGTTCTCAGAAAGATTGGAATTTGCGATCCTTGTTTCAAGGCAACAACAAAAGCAAAAGTCCCCGAGAGACGACTCAATGGCTGAAAAAAATGAACAAATGAGTATGTAGCCTTGAAAGCCAGATGTTCCAAGGAAATTTTCTCCTTAAGAGTCACAGTTTTTGCCTCATCAGTGAGTCAAACCAATGATGTAACCTGAGACTCGTGCGTCAAAACGGGCGACCCATTTTCAATCAAGTGAGAACATTGTTTTGTTAAAGACGAGGCTAGTGACCGGCAGACATGGTGGACCAGGCCCCCTCCATCCTCCAGACAGAAAAGGCATAGCTTAGTCTCTCGTGGGCCAGGTAGTTACACCCGCTCAGCTTTGAATCGATCTCGTCGCTCTGCAGAACCTGGTACAGGAAGTCGATGTAGCGGGATGCCAGTTTCAGGGTCTGAATTTTGCTCAGTTTGTCCGAAGGGAGCGTTGGGATTATTTTACGTAACGAGGCGAAGGCTTCGTTCAGTGATTGCGTTCGCTGGCGCTCTCGGATGTTGGCGATCACGCGCTGGCCATGTGGATCCTCGAGGGGCGACAACCCTCCAGGACTTGGACCAGAAATCGGAGAAAGGGACGGCCCTGACGAAGAAGGCAAATGTTCAGGACTCCTTTTGAGCTTTTTTAGTCCGGTCGGAGAATCGATCCGGACGTCGTCTCCAAGCTTGTCGTTGATTGATGTGACTGTGGTGGCGTCGCCCGTCTCAGGTGAGCCTGTGTGGCGTTTCCGCCTGCGGAATCCAGGTGTTGCCACGAGGACAGGACAGGCGTTCGAGGGTGGTTTTCCGATGTTCTCCTCACTGGAAAACTCCGCACCCACCGGATGATCTGCGCTGGTCTGCTCCTCGTCTCTCATACTTAACGCTTCCTTCCTTTTGGGATAGTTCCAAGTCCTCTTGCTTTAGTCTATTCTTCTCAGATCGATCTTCAGGAACTGCTGAGTCGTCCTTGTCACAAAAGGGAGAAAACTCCAGCCTTCAACTACGCTTTACCGCCATGCTTCTTCATCCACACTACTGCGAGGCAGCCAGTAACCACCACATTGGTCATCATGTCCCGCTGCTCCTCGAGCTGCATGTGATTCAACAGAAACTTGAATCTGACTTAAAAGGGAGGGGACCTCGAAAGCGTTCGGCGGTCCGCCCATCTGAATCACTGATTGGTGTGCAAGTCTATTTTTTTTTTTTTTTTTTTTCCCCCAGAACATCAGGAACCCTAAAATATGGGG